AGTTTCAACGAAACATCAAGTGATGCTACAAGATTGGGTGTCGTCTACCCCGGCGCTGATGCTTAATGGTGAAAAATTTGCTATAGTGGAATGTTTCTCCTACTCAGGTAGCTGCGTGATGAATGACGGTGGTCAATTAAGTGACCACTCGCATTTCCAAGACTCGAGCGGCTTACGCAGGACTGAAGCACCTTTAGCGCACATGATGTTTCGTTGAAACTGAAAGGTCATGTATACTGCGCCAGTGTTTGGTCACTTCTCCTCTATGGTTGCGAGACCTTAAATTTGCGCGTGGAAGATATTCGTCTGCCGATGTTTACGTAGTTTGGTTGGATGGGGCGAGCGTGTAAGCAACTCTGAGGTAAGGCGTCGCGTATTTGGAAATGATTCGATGGAGGGTCAATTGTCCCATCGAATTCAGATTAGCCCGCTTCGCTGGTTAGGACGCGTATTGTGCACCACAGTCATCTTNGCAGCTGCGGCTCCAGGTTGGAAGAAAAGGTGTGGAGGTCAAGAGATGACGTGGAGATGAGGTGTGAAGAAATGCACAAAGCGATTAGGTAAACTAGATGTCTCCCAGGTTTGGTTCCAAAAGACTGCAACTGGTTGGTTGGAAACACTGAAAGATATGGCAGCGAACCGACAGCAGTGGCGTTCTTTTTGTCATTTCTTATCCAGTCAGAATGCTTGAAAAGGTATGTATGCACACTCAAATTGTGTACTTTGTGTGTTGACCATAGAAGTTCACTTTCTTTTCCTCCCATCTATTAGGCCCAATCCTTCTCCATCTTATGCTTTATCGCTTAATGTGTGTACATTGTGAGCTTTGCAGCGAACAGTTAAGTTCGCTTAACTGTATCTCGCTGTTCGACGATGATGATTCTCTCTTACGTGTTTTAATGTATCCAGGTGTGTTGTGCAAACCCCAACGCATTTCTGCTTCCTCCGACCTATGCTCCTTCGCCGACAAGCTGTCTCAACTCATGCTTTTGTCTTTCCAGTTGGGTCCAAGTTTCAGTTCAATCGAGCCCATTGGATATGGGTTTCCACTATATTCCTCTTTCTACCGATCCAGCAGGGATAACTGTTCATTATCCGGATGTCACTTCAACCCTTACGGACAATTTACGTTTTGGGACAATACCTTGTCATCCGGTTTGTCTAAAAGTATTGATCAAAGGAAAGAGTAGATACGAAGCTGAAGGCCATATGGTCCTTAAATACGGGTCGTCTAATGGTCATCGATATACATGCTAAGGCATTGGTTGAATTCATAAACTTGGAAGTCAATTTAATCTCACAAGATTATTGTGAATTGATGAGAAGAAAGATTCTTACCGACAACAAAATTGAAAACCAGTGCTACCATTTTTACCAGTCTTTTAAATCTCTCCATCGCTTGTGTGCAACATGTGAACGGTGCACGCGTGAAAGTCAGGTTTATTTTAAACACGGTCAATGTTACATCAACCATATTTACACTGCTCTCCGAATTTTTGAACACAGACATTTAGTTGGCCCATAACTTCTATTCTGTTGGATTTAAAAGTTGCTTTCGGATAAGTCGATCACTCAGCACTCTTGCACTGCCTCTCCTTTAATGGTATGCCAGAGGAATTCATCAGGGTTGAACTCTTTCTGTTCAACTTAGTAATGGATATGGTTCTGGTAACATCTCTTCTCCCGCGAGGATATCGGCATCGATATACTTCCAGGTGTCAAGTTTTCTTGTCGGTATTTTGCTGTTGAAAGTAGATCTGAGGCTGCTGTAAGCCTTTTTGGAAGGTGTGTGTTAGTGTAGCTGTGTTCGGCAAGCGTTTCGCACCTATAAAATATGAGATACTATTAAATGATTGGGTAGGCTCAGCTCCCAACCTCATTTCAACTGTGGAGGCACTGGGAAAAGTTGATAAAGTTTACTGTTTTGGCATATGCATCTCTCCGAGCGAAAGAATGATCGTCGCGCATCCAAAAGGCTCGATTAACGTCGACCAGTTTGGGAATTCTGTGGCGCCGCCGCGACATTTGGTTGTCCGTGACTGGTAGGCTGGTTACTGCAACAGTTCACCAATACTACTGTATAGTGCTGAGATTAAATCGGTACGAGAACAGAATGAATATAGGTCATCGGTGTCCGATCATTGTTGTCTATGCCGTGTTACACGAATCTGATGGAACAATTGGAGAAGTAGTGCTAAGGATATGTGCAAAGCTTTAGGTGATTAGAGTTACTAACTGGACTAAGTACTCAACTATCATAAATCACTCTCGCTGGGCCACCTTCATTAGAGACATTCGAGAAGCAGACTTATCCTCCTGCGAGGCCTAGTCACTCAAAAATGAAAATGAATAATTTGAATAAAACAAGTAACA